CATTATAAGTGTTAAAAAATAACAGTATTTTGAATCATATTGAAGAAAATATATTCATCACTAATTAATAAGTTTCGCGCCTGACAGGTAGTTTTTAACAGGTTTAATAATCTGCAAGCAACTGTGAAAAAGCACCAAAATCAAAGTCAAACAAAAGAAATTGATAAAAACAATAATTATACTTATAACTGAATTAGTATTTCATTATTGTAAGCTAGTTAAACGCTTACCATATAAAAGCTTATTTAAGATCCGCCAAGTAAAGTCTGGGCATTCGTTCTGATATAGTGGGCGCTCTGACTACAATACTGCGCTCTGACTACAATACTGCGCTCTGACTACAATACTGCGCTCTGACTACAATACTGCGCTCTGACTACAATACTGCGCTCTGACTACAATACTGCGCTCTGACTACAATACTGCGCTCTGACTACAATACTGCGCTCTGACTACAATACTGCGTTTGACCTAAAATACAACATTATGTTGATAGGTGATAATTCTGTTTTTCCTCCACTAGCGAGCTCAACAAGTGAAACAAGTAGTTAATGTCACAAAAATATTTTCGATGGTCTACATCTTCATCAGTTCTGAAATTTATCAATTAAAATTAAATATAACGACAAGGAACATATGTGGTAAAACTCTGACAGAAAAATATATTAAATACTACGATACGAAGAATTATGACATACACTGATTACAACATTACATCATGCGACTCTTAAACATAACGCCCCACTCACTCATCTTAAAATACAACTGTAGCACAGAAACGTTGAGTTAAAAAATGCCTGGAACGCTTTTAACAACACGGAAATCAATGGTTAAAATAATTCATTGCTTAATTATCGTAATTCAGAAAATAAAGTGAAACAGTTATCATACCAAATTGTGGAGCTGATCGAGGAAGTGGTTCATCATTAATCACAATCTGTTCGTCAGTTCGTCTAGATGGAATCTTCTTTCATGTTCGGTATACTCCACCTGAAACCCCAGTTTTAAATTTTGTAGTACATGTTGCTATTCTACATCTAAATTACCTTTATTATCCATATTATTATTATCTGTGTGTTGAACAGGGGGATGAAACCGAGCTACTAGTAAATTCTGTCAACCAGATATAACCAAAAGCTTGGCTACTATATTTTTGTGCAGTCATGACTTAACTTACTATAACTGTGGGTGATTCTCGATAGGATTAGGAATCCCTCTCACTATGATCTTCCACCAAACTTCATGGTCGACTATAATAGCTGTTCGTTAACCACCATCTTTTAAACCTACGTTCCATTTGTCATACGTTGTATGACCCGCCGCGCACGAAGTGCGCGGCTCCCCCTGTATCGTCGAAGACGATATACCACTATAGTGAAGCGACAGTGGGGGTCACCACGTGATACTGATACAAAGTTCCATAACTAACCTTTTAAAGAAAATTAAGATATCTGTATCATTATATTTGGAAGCTTGATGGACGCACGGTTGGTATAATGTTGACACACGGTTGGCACAAAGTTGGCACACGGTTGGCACGCGGTTGATACAAAGTTGGCACACGATTGACACGCGGTTGATACAAAATTGGCACAAAGTTGGCACACGGTTGGCACGTTGTTGATACAAAGTTGGCACACGATTGACACGCGGTTGACACAAAATTGGCACAAAGTTCGCACACGGTTGGCACGCGGTTGATACAAAGTTGGCACACGATTGACACGCGGTTGACACAAAATTGGCACAAAGTTGGCACACGGTTGGCACGTTGTTGGCGAACAGTTCACGGTTGGAACAAAGTTAATACATAGTTGGCATTCGCGTTGGCGCAATATTAAACTCGTCGATGAGTTGCGAAGCAGCTCAGAGCGCACGTCAGTGACAGCTTAGGTTACACTTACTAACATACAATTCGTAAATCATGGTCAAGTATGCCGTGGTCCGTGTGGGGCCGGTTCAGTCATTCAGTGGCGAGCATTTTGCTCTGATGTCTTAATTTTCTGGGATGCAAATGGTCTTCATGGTTAGGGTTATATCATTTAAGTTAAATTTTAACTTTCTAGTTTCGCCTTTACCAGTCAGTTGTGATATTTTACTTGTCGGTACTACATTACTACATGAAACCGTTTTAAAAAGTTGCAGTTTTGAATCCCTAGGGTCAACTCCCTTGTTAATGTTGATAGGGCCAACTCGCAGGTGATGGTTATCTCCTCTACACGTTGAACTGGAAATTTAGTGTTCGTCTTAACGTATCTCCAGGTCGTACTTTGATATACTTTACTGAAAATATGGTTCATAATCAAACTTACTCGTATGTACCAAATAAGCGTAATCACTCATCAAAGGAGGGCGCCATTTTCCTTTTGTTTAAAAGAAAACGAAAAATCGTCCGATCAGTCAAGAAATTGTGTAACTAAGCGTACGGTCAGCACAACAATTTTTTTGGGATAACAAATTAATCATTAATTTAATGGCAGGCCTGACATTTTTTCGCTCTTAAGAAATTATGAATTTTGGAGGGCGAACATATTTGACCGTGGATTTAGAATATTAGAATCAGTGAACTTACCAAGTAGCAAAGCTTATACTCGCTGATCTGTCAGTCAGCCAATAATCTGATAACTTCCAGCAGCGGCCATCATGAAGACTGTAAGCTTTGTTCGTTTAGCGCTCCTAAAATATATTTGTTTTATTGAAGTCACCGAATTCAAAATTAACATACCGATCGATAAATTATAAGCTAAACAATTTAACAATTGACAGTATTGCAAGTGTTAAGTTACCAAGTTGAGAGCTTCATGCCTTCACTTGACCTGATCCTCCATTCAGTATAATCTCATTTTTTATTTTGGCTGTCCTCATTTGTAATTCCTCCTACCTGAAACATTGATTATGAACTTGTTCGGACTATATAGTTTTGCACAAGCACACAATTTCATTTTAATCACGCAATGTCCAGTGAGAATAATCGAATTAAAAATATAATCATCTGTAAATCTACTGTACCCATTTGTATAGTTATACTTATACGTCAAAACTTTATGTCATGGTTCTGCCCTAACAGCTATCTTAAAACCATGCCCACTCAGCTGCAGCGCGTTTTCACTTTTACTGTATAAAAGTAATAAAGATACCTTAACCTAGGTTTATTGACGTCATCAATCTTCCGCGTGACTCATTGCTCCACCTATGATGAGCGAGATGCAGGAACTTATTCGCTGTGCAGATAATGCAGCGTTTTACAGATATCTAGGTTGAGGAAAAATTACAATTTCTCGAGCCTTTTCCTGACAAAAACGGCTTTCCTGAAATCACAGTTTTCACAACGACATGAGGCACGCGTTTGTAGAACATTTAATCGTCGAGCGCGAATATGGGAAACTCACCGTATTTGATTTATTTCCCACATAAAGAACATGCGTTTCCATAGTAATTACAGATGCGTTTCCTGTGTTGTCTGTTATCCAGTCGATCCAACTAATTCTTCAAATTTAAACATAACAATAATATAAGCTTCAAAGTTATCTTGCATGAGTTACCACGGCCACAGTAAAGGCAGTTTTGTCAGTGTTTGGTGTCAATCCTCTTTCACATGTATTTTTCGTGCTGATTTGGTGGCCATTAAAGCATTTGACCCAGTCAAAAAAGTTTCAGTTGTATACCTTATGTATATATTTTACGGTTTTTGCGGAAAGTTGCGTTAAAGTTGATACCGTGGTGTCAGTAAAATGGTACGGATAAACACATCCATCCATATCGTCTCGCTTTATTATTATATATACTATATATAGTAAGATGGCAATCAGAATATTTGTTCGTGGTAATGTTGAACAAAGCTACTAAGCTAGCTGGCACGATGTTTCCCGTAATAATAATGAACATTTTTTAAACATTTAAAACATAGAAAATCTTATTTTGAACTTTTCAAAGCATGTAGAATGTAGGGGGTTTAAAGATGAACGCAAAGAAAACAGAGATCATGGTCATTGGGAAAGATACATCGCAGCACCCACTCCCAGAGAATAGGACCATAGATATAACTGTCGATGGAAACTCTGCAAAGCAGGTCACTCAATTCACTTATTTGGGTGCCAAAAATACATCAGATGGCAAGATTGATAAAGAAATAAGTGTCAGGATTGGAAAAGCAACCGGAGCTTTTAACCCAACTCAACAACATTTGGAAGAATAAGAACATAAGCATTAACAACAAAGTGCGAATCTACATCGCAGCTGTTCTTACCATTCTGACCTATGGATGTGAGATATGGAACACGACTCAAGTGCAGACAAGAAGATTGGAGTCTTTCCATCAGTACTGCTTAAGAAGAATCCTGAGAGTGAGGTGGTTCCATCGAGTAAGTAATGAGGATGTTTTAAGAAGGGCATCAATAACTGCCCTTGCTGACATAATAACAACAAAACGGCTGCGTTGGTTTGGACATGTCAGTAGAATGCCTGAAGATCGGTTGCCCAACTATTTACTTGAATGGAAACCCAAGCATGGGAAGAGATCAAGAGGCAGGCCTAGGAAGAGCTTAAATGATGTTTTCATTGAGGATGCTGAGCAGAGATTGGATCGTAATGGACTCACGATTGATTGTATGAGAAGATTAGCTGCAGACCGAAAGGGATGGAGAAATGTTACCCGCCGAAGTTATATAATACAAAGTAATGACGTAGTCGACGCAGACTAATCCTTTTGGATGGAGATCTCGCCATGTAACATGTAGAATGTAGATGGTATTTAATTATTATAATACTATAAGAGTTACATAAAGTTTCGATTTCCACCTTTACAATCGCGCCCCACATCCAGAAAGACGGCAGGTGGCAGATAATCTGTGAGGAAATTTTGGAGGTGGCCTGACCTTTTTTAAGAGCATACAAAAATTTTTAGGGGGGAAACATAGATCTGTGAGGAAATTTGAAACTTTATAGCTTTGCCTTTGGAACACGCCACTCTACCAAATTTTGGGTTTTGGTAACGAATATATCTATAGATCCAAACCTGGAGAAGGAATTTTTGCCGGGGTGCCATATACTTCAATCTCAGCAATGTTCCAGTCTCCTACCGTTCCCTCCTGACTTATCTCAACAATATTTCCGTCTCCTTCACAGTCGAAAGTGTAGGTACTTTCCTCACTGCTAATCTTACCACAATCAGTAACTTGCTCATTTCCTGTTTTTATGAAAACTGAAGCTCCAACTATCCTTTCTTGACAGCAATTCTGTCTGTTGTAGATGATCACTTTAGTAACAGAAGACTGTGTCTCCAGATTAACGCGCATCCACATACCGTCTTCAGCTTCTAATGTGTGTGCAAAATTGTTTAGATCTCCATCCATAAGATTTGAGGGAGGGTATGGTCCGTAGTGGTTCTTCATCTCTGCACTTGCAATGGTCAGCATATTTTCTCCTGAAATAGTTCTTTGATGATGGTTTACAAATCTTTCACTGTCCGTCAATCTTTGAAATACCTCAACATTGATCCCATACCTTTAGCATATTATTGCAATTCGAAATTATCAGCATAACAACTTTTATTGATTCATTTCAAAATTCGACATTTATGCCGTAAATATATTTACCCTCGGCTTCGGAGAGATTCATCACAATCCCAAATAGGATCATGTAAAAGTACATTTCTGATCGATATAAAATGATAAGTTTTGACAAGTTTTGCTCAACAAAACCAATGTAAAATATTAAGTTGTACTCGGTGATGATCCCTATTAGAATTAAACATTACAAAAGTTTTAACGTACAATCGTGGAAAAAACTATTTATTGATTTGTCCGAAATGTTTTCTTAAGAATTATAAATGAAAAAGTGGTGTCATCTCGGCCCGCTACTTTGAAAACCAAAAATACCACGATGAGAACAAGTATGTTCAAGGGGCGAACGAATGATAAGTAAGTAGTAATTATTCAAGATTTAAGTTAAGAATATGGATGTGTATAGCAGTGCCCAAGAAGCCTGGCCATTAAGTGTGAAATTTAAGGTAGACTTCAAGGTTAAGTTAGGGTCAGGGGCCCTAGAGTTTAATCCTAACCCCACAAAAGTCTACCTCAGAGCATACCATCATTGGTTTGGGCTCCAAGAGCGACCAGCAAACCTAATGGCATCATCCTGCTTGCTGCGTCTTAAGTATCAGTTCTCAAAGAGATCACGTGAAACAAGCCTGATAGTTGGATAATATCCGGTTAGAAGAGACAAGGACAAATGAAACAGGAAGTTAGGAATTTAGGCAAATTTTTTCGGCGCCAACGCCATCTCCAGGCTCAAATTATTTGTTATATAGTAATGTTCAACCGGATACAACCAGATATTATCCAACTATCAATACTTCAAAATCTTTAAGCTTTATTACAATTCGTAAGCCGTGAATGAATGGGAAAAGCGAGCGACCGATTTCATTCTCGGTATCAATTTGCATTTGCGGACAGTTCCTCAAATTAATATCATTTCCTTTTGTTTGGAAAAGAGAGACACTGGCAGCGGTTCACTCTACCCATGATTATGAGTTTTGGTCAAATATCATCTCTTTTTGATTATAATGTCAGGATAATTTACACAATCGAAACTTCATTAATAAGGAGATAATTTCAACGATTTCGAAATTCTGCCTTTGAAAACGTTTCCTTGTGTTTAGGTAGGTATATCTGTCGATAACCGACTGAATATGGCACTTTTTACTCATTCAAGTTGGCATTAAATTCATGTATAATGCCATTTAAATATCTTGGAAAGCAGAATATATTCGAAATCACGAATGAGCAAAATTCTCACCTTTCGCACGTGCAAACTTTGAGCGGACGTTGCGTGCGTATACAATATTGAATCACCGTACATTTTTGCATGGTGGTATTTAATATATAGTTTGATAAGCATGCAAAGTTTCAAAAGATTTCAAAAAGAACTTGGATCACAACGGGACTCCAAAGTTGATAAAAATCTTGAAAATCAAAATTTTTAGTGATTTTAGCTATTTTAAATCAATTTGGGCGAGTCCCCACGTGTGCAACTTTTCGATTTTTAACTTTAAAACTAGCCTATAACACAATTTACACCTTTAAGAAGCAACATTGAGCTCCACAACCCAAGGGATGGCCCAACACCAGAGAATACTAATTCACAACTTTTATGTTTTTATAAAATTATTCTTCAAAAAAGCACTAACTTCAATAGCAAATATCTTTATGAAGGAAACTTTTCCGGTAGATTTTCGGAATGCTTGAACAATTATCTAAGGTAAAAATGTCCTCAGATTTTGAATAAAATTACTCCTTAATCAAATGGTGTAAAATTGATTTGAAAAGTTGTTACTTTGTCAAAAATCAAGTTTTAAAAACACTTAATTTGATGACGTCATCAAGTGATGATGATGACGTTAAATTATTATTATAAGTATAAACAATTATCTTCAAGACCTGTGGTTCAAAATGACTGTATCTTTTATACTTTTGAATCTACTGACACTTGAATCTAGGCTACAATTGACTGCCAATTGACTGCCAAAGCGTCTATATATACCTTATCGGACCTTATTTGGACGGACATTACTTGAACGCTGGAGGCACTAGCGTTCATCTTAATGTCCGTTCAAATAAAGTCCGTTCAATTAATGTCCGTCCAAGTTAAAGTCCGTTGAATTTTTTCAAAAATTTTTTCATTTCGAACTTTTTGTCCAGAATATGACAATTTTTTAATTTCAGTCAATTTCAATAGCTATCATTAAACTATCATTAAACTATATATTATATATACTTCACAACAATCTGTTGTAAAACAGGGGATCCAGAAAACCCACTTGCCGATACTGCTGAAACATGAAATTTTGTTTACAGTCGATTTGGACAAGGTCTAGACGCCCTGCAAAGTTTCAGATCTCTAACTCAATTTTAACATGGTTTTTAAGGCACCTGAATATGGCGATTTTGGGTTTTTTACCTAATTTCGTATAACATGCTGGTGCGTATTTTGCGCAAATTTCTTAAAAACCTCCACATGATAACTATTTCATATTCCTGTCATCTTTAACACTGAATTATAATGTTTTGAACTTAAATATACCTGCTGAACTACTTTCGATGAGTCTTAATGCCTGGAAAACAATAAAGGGGATATAATAGTATAGGGGGTAAATAGTGTTGTGAATATAAGGGCAACGGTTATGCTTGCCAGCATTGTGATCATGAGACTAATAAACAGCGAAATATTCCATCATTCGATTTTTGAAATAAGCCTGTTAAAGCAAAGTGTCAATTTATACGACCGTGCATGGACCGCACGTCGGTAGATAAATATTACAAAGTTGTAAAAACTTTCAGACTGTTCAGTCCGTGATTTTGCAACGTGGCTCTTGATGGGATATTACTCAATTTAATGTATTTTATCTTTTGCATTTTGCAGCGAGGCGGTGGGGAAGAAGAGAAATTAACACATTATACATATTACAAATGTTTTGACTGGGCTTGCTGAAGAGTCGAAGGCTGAAAGCTCATAAAAACCATACTCAATTATGAGCGGTAAAGCTTCTAGAACTTTCTATCACAAAACAGAGAGACCAGTTTGTCTAATGGCATCATCCTGCTCGCTGCGTCGTTGGTAATAGTTCTCAAAGAGATCACGTGACTGAACTAAGCCTGTTGAAGCAAAGTGTTAGCCAGCCAGCCAATCGTTTTCCAGAACTCTAATTATTCTAAATCGTGTACGAGGTCAACTTGAATATTTTCCAAATGTACCAGTTTCATTATGGGCATTGGGCGAGGGACAAATCTCAATATGCTAAACTAATGGTTTGCACCCATTAAAATAGGATAAGCGAGCTCCTCGACATGGGACTCATTGTCTGAAAGTTTAAGTTATTCGAAAGCTTTGTTTTTGGTATGGTCATTGGGCGAGGGACAAATCTTAATATGCTAAACATATGGTCTGCACCCATTAAAATAGAATAAGCTACACGGGACCCATTGTCTAAAATGCGGGTGAGTGGGAACCTTGCCGTACGACTACGACGGCTCGGTCATATAATTAGTAGCACATTTATTTCAATGAACAGTTTATCACAAGATAATAAATCATAACTAAAGATAAGCAGGTTTGCTTATAAAACTCCTCTATTATTATATAGCGTGTGCAGCTAGAGTTAAGAACAGCTGCCCACGCACCACAGCTTGAGTTAGGCACTAGGCAGTGATTACATTGATAACTGTTGATTGACCCTTCCAGATCGTAGAGGTCTGCAACACATGCTCGCTTTGCACATGCATCGTTTTTATCTCTCTATGACTTTAATAATAATAATAATAATACCGACTGCCAAGGTCTGACGCCTAGGCAGTCGAGACCTCTTATTGAGACCCTTTATAATAATATACATTTAATAATAATAATAATAATAATATACATTTAATAAACATTTGTAGTAGTGTAGGATTGTTTGAATTTCTTTTTGCTAGGTTTTATAATTTTTATTTGTATAACTATAATTTGTGATTGTTTCTCCCGGTTTTCTTCCCTTGCGTAGCAAGCCCTGTCTCTTGTAAAAACAACCTCGAAAGATTTGTAGATACACATAGTCTCTACACCTTTACCCTCTGGTCCCTAGGGTCAGCTGATCCCGGGCCAGAGGAAAACTACCGACTGCCAAGGTTTGACGCCTAGGCAGTCGAGACCTCTTATTGAGACCCTTTATAATAATATACAGTTTTGTGTACAAGTAATTATTGTCATTTACTGGACTAAGGGGTATACATGTGTTGGAGTTTTTCTCTTATTTTTCTTCTCTTGCTCTGCATGCCCTGATTCTTGTATAAACATGATGTTTGTTTAAATATTGTATATTCTTGTATTGATTGTGGTATTTTGTGGGTCAGATTCAGCAATACCCAATGGGTACTTGCTGAATCACTGTTTTATACACTCTGTAGCCAGTCCCTGTGTTCCGTCCCTTGCCCTGCAAGCCCTGTTTCTTGATTATACAGCATTTATTTATCGTGTATTACATTGTAGTATGTAATAAACATTTGTAGTAGTGTAGGATTGTTTGCATTTCTTTTTGCTAGGTTTTATAATATTTCTTTGTATAATTTGTGATTGTTTCTCCCGGTTTTCTTCCCTTGCGTAGCAAGCCCTGTCTCTTGTAAAAACAACCTCGAAAGATTTGTAGATACACATAGTCTCTACACCTTTACCCTCTGGTCCCTAGGGTCAGCTGATCCCGGGCCAGAGGAAAACTACCGACTGCCAAGGTTTGACGCCTAGGCAGTCGAGACCTCTTATTGAGACCCTTTATAATAATAATAAAGCAATAAGCAATTTAAAGTCATGTCCGTAGCCCGCTCGTCGCACGTGCATTAATTATGAGTAATTAAACTTGCATGTTGTAGCTTACCTGGGGACCTCAGGCTATCATGTTTATAAACAATAGAGATTAGGCGGAATGACAGGCTGAGCGCGGCCCAGTAAGTTGTACTTGTAGCTTATCATTATAATATATATTTTACCAAAACCCATAATTGGGTAGAGTGGTCGAGTGGACCGTTACCAGTGTCTCCCTTTCGCAAACAAAAGGAAATGATATCAGTTGGAATAACGGTTCTCAAATGCAAAATGATAAGGAGAATGAAATCGGTCGCTTATACAGCAGAGAGAATTGATAGAATTGTCTGAGAGGGAGAGATAGCACAGACAGGGACACTTCGTAGGAAGTTTGTGCTTGCCGTTTGATCAGCCGAGCGACACGTGACAGGGAAGAGCTTCGCTTGATTGGTCAATGTTATGTTATAGCTTTTGGCTTGAGCTGCAGGATTTTAGCGTGTGATCTAGTTGTGAGGGGCTGTTTTCCAAAACTCCAGGGGCTCGTGAAGTGTCTTACACAACCTCTCCGAGCCCAAGATCCGTAGTGCGTGGTGAAGAGCCACACCCTTCTCGAGGTGCCACTGTTAAGCTTAGTAGCCTGTTCTGGGTGATTCCAGTTAAAACAGGTGAACGGTAACAGAACACTGCGGCTCTAGACCAGTACAGGTCGAAAAATATAACCGGGACATCTGTCTCGTTAGGACTGCATGCGGTTCATCGGGTGCGAAGGGCCAGCATCCCTTCCACCTCAAATAACAACGCTACAGAAACAACAAGGAAAAACCGTGATAGGAGTGATTCTCGGAATGCAAGGAATGGTGATTCCAGTATGAAGCGGTCTGGGCAAAGCCGCAAGGACCCCAGGACGCAGATGAGAACGAAGAGGTCACCTTATTCCCGCAGTGTTATTAGTTCACACATCACCAACGTGAACCCCGAAAAAGGGAGATCATCCCCTTCCAATTTTATAAAAAACAGACTTAACTTGGGGACGTGGAATGTTCTGTCTCTGGAAAGCAGCACATCGAAGCTTTATGAATTGTCACAGAATGTTTCTAAGTACAAGCTGGATGTTCTGGGTCTTACGGAAACACATAGACCAGGTACTGGTGAGGAAATGCTGGATAATGGGTCATTGTTCATTTATTCAGGGAGATCGGATGGGCATAGGAGGCAGGGTGTTGGGTTGGTTTTGTCAAAAACCGTCAAGAATTCGCTTATCTCTTACACCCCTATTTCGGAGCGTATTCTAGCAGCTAGGCTACATAGTCGGCACATCAATATTTCTGTTGTGGTGGCCTATGCTCCTACGGAGGATGCGCAGGATAGCGTTAAGGACGATTTTTATCAGCAGTTGGGGGGATCATTCGACAGCCTACCCAGTCACGACGTGAAGATTCTTCTTGGTGACTTCAACGCCAAGATTGGTCGCGACAACTCTTCTTGGTCTGGGGTAATTGGAGGAGAGTCCCTGCATGAGACGTCAAGTAATAACGGACTTCGGCTGTTGGATTTCTGTGCCATGTATCAGTTGACAGTTGGGGGAACATTGTTTCAACACAAGGACATCCATAAAGGCACCTGGAGGTCTCCCAATGGCCGTACTGTCAATCAGATAGATCATGTTTGTATCTCTACCAAGTGGAGTCACTCTCTTCTTGATGTTCGAACTTATAGAGGTGCAGACATAGGCTCTGATCACTACTTGGTCAAGAGTCCTATGAGGATCAAACTGATGGGAATCAAAAAGATACTAAGGGTCACAAAGAAAAGCACCAGCTATCGAGCATCTGCGTGACCAATCTAAGGTACAGGAGTATTGCATCGCACTGCATAACCGATTCAGTGGTCTGCCGGTGGAAGAGAGTCTGGATGGAGAGTGGGAGTTGGTCAAGGAGGGCATCAGGGAGGTTTCTTTGGAGGTTTTGGGTCAACGCCCGCGCCGGAGGAAGAAGCAGCACTTGTCACAAGAGACAAAGGATCTTATCTCGGAGCGGAGTAAGGTCAAGCAGAAATGCCCAAGTGATGGATTCAATAGATCTGAGTATTCTCTTGCTAATAAGCGTGTTAAGAAGAGCTGCAAGAAGGACGATGAGAACTGGGCTTTACGGGTTGCAGCCGATCTGGAAACAGCTTCTTCACACGGTCAGCAGAGGGAAGTCTGGCAGATGATCAAGTCCTTGTCAGGCAAGAAGAGTCGAAAGTCAACTGCTGTCAGAGATAAAACCGAGAAGTTGATTTCTGACCCTGCTGCTCAACGAAAACGATGGGGTGAGCACTTCGCTGAACTACTAAACCCGCAGATAGGAGACGTGGACCTTTCAGACCTAGACAGTCTAGAGGTCGCACCATGTTTTCCGTATCTGAGTGATAGTGATTTACCCCCGAGCAGAACAGAGATCTCTGAGGCTTTAAAGAGTCTGAAGAATCACAAGAGCCCGGGAATTGATGAAATTTCCAACGAACAGCTGAAGTATGGGGCTCCTGGTCTTTTAGACAGGCTTGAGAAACTGTTTGCACGTGTTTGGGAGACGGAGAATGTGCCAGAGGATTGGGTTAAGGGTATCATTGTTATTGTCCCGAAAAAGGGTGATACATCATTCTGCTCGAACAACAGGGGCATAACCCTACGCTCCACGGCATCAAAACTCTATCAGATAATAGTGTTGCGACGGATGAATGCGGGGCTTGAAGAACTGCTCCGAGAGAATCAATGCGGGTTCAGGAAAAACAGGTCTTGCATTGATCAGATTTATTCACTCCGTACTATTATTCACAACAGCATTGAGTTTAACCTCCCCCTGTACATAAATTTTGTTGACTTTAAAGCTGCATTCGATTCACTTAATCGGGAGTTTATCTGGAAAGCTTTCAGTCATTATGGCTTGCCTTGTAAATACATTCGCATAATGCAAGCATTCTTTTGCGGCACCGTCAGCGCTGTCAGACATAATGGTGAGCTCTCAGATTGGTTTGACGTTACATCTGGCTCTGGGCAGGGGGATATTCAGGGTCCACCTATCTTTAATGTCTGCATCAACCTGCCTGCGCAGCGGGCTGAGGATAACAAAGTGTTGTCACACGGGGCAGTGCTGCAGAGAGCTACCACCAGCTCTGGTCAGGATACAGTCGTCCTGGATACTGACTATGCAGATGATTTGGCTATCATGGACAACACCAAGGACGGTCTCCAGGAGACGACTGATCTTTTATGCAAGTATGCGGCTCAGGCTGGCCTCAGAATCAATGCGAAGAAAACAGAGGTTATGGCCATCGGCAAGAATACATCACAGAGGCCGTATACTGAAGCATCAACAGTGGACATTAAAGTAGGAGACACGGCTATTCAGCAAGTCAGCAACTTCACTTACCTTGGGTCGATTATATCAAGTGATGGGACTATTGACCGGGACTTGTCTGCACGGATCCAGAAAGCCTCAGGAGCATTCAATCAGCTCGGTAATATTTGGAAGAATCGCAATATCCAAACTAACACCAAAATACGGATATATGTTGCAGCGGTTCTAACAATATTACTTTATGGAAGCGAAGTCTGGAACACTACTTCAAAGCAACTACATCGCTTCGAAGTTTTCCATCAAAACTGTTTGAGGAGAATCCTTCGAATTAAGTGGTTCCACCGGACGAGCAATGTTCAAGTGTTGGAGCGGGCAAGAATAAACCCGGTTATAACCTACATCAGTGCCAACCGTCTTCGCTGGTTTGGACATGTTTCTAGAATGCCGGACACCAGGCTACCAAAGTATCTACTTGACTGGACACCTGCTCACGGCCGAAGATCACGTGGGCGGCCAAGAAAGAATTGGCGAACCTGTGTCCTAGAAGACGCAGTAACATTCACAGGAGATCCAGACATTGTATTTGATAAGGTCCGTGAGTTGGCAGGAAATCGCAAGCACTGGAGAGAGATGATACGACATAAGCGGCAATTCCTTGGTGCAGGCCACTCGAATGATTGAGGAGACCTTATCAAGTATCAAGTATCAAGTAAGTTCACATATTACGAAATCACTTTTTGGACAATTTGTAACCCCTCTCGCCCCTCCGTAATCAGTTTTATACATAGCTATTGTGTCAAAATTACACTAGCGTAATAATTTGGAAACCCCCTCCCCCTCGGTTGATTACGTAATAATAATATGTGAACGACCCCTAACTGCAAATAATATGAAAACATAGTATTATAGTACTACTAACCGATTTTTTTACATATTTCTTCACATAATGATAAGGATCAACCGAAATGGGGGCAAAAATTAATTAAGGCATCTAGAATGATGCAATTCTACGAGCAATGTTGTCATACATGTATAATTATGATGATTAGCGAATTCACGTGAATTATAAAAAATACCACTTTTTTAAATGTAATGATAATTATTTATTATAATTATAATGTAACTTCAATTCAAATACAATAATACTTTGTTACAAATTTTCTAATCGTTAAGCTCTAAGTCTAACCATAGCTTCTCATAGCCGCAACCACGGTGTTGTCACTTATTATTACCTGGGGACCCCAGGCTATAATGTTCCAAATAGAGATTCGGCGGAATGTCGAATGACAGGCTGAGCGCCGCTCAGTAATATTGTCAAATTTACAATTACTATTAGTTAGCAGCAAATTAGCAAATTCGGTGGTAAACGCAGATTCCTGCAATATCATTCTCATTGCTTCTCGTTCTCATTGCTTCTTAGTTCGTAAACTTGGCCACATCATATTCATATGATTGTATATTCGACAGCTTCATAATGCTTCATCTTTCAAAATGGTTCCTCACGATAACCTTTAGATTCTGAATTCTTCAACAGCGAGATCGTAACTGATAGTACAATAATTCATATTGCTGTTGATCAGACTTAAGAAAGCAACTGCTTTAAGTGTCAGTAAAGCTAGGGTCACACACACGTCACAAAACACCGGTCTCACTGATAGGGTTACAGGTCATCATCTTGATAAACTCTTCGTAGTCTATCAGACCATCTCCGTTCAGATCAGCTTCACGGATCATGTCCTCTACCTGCCAAACATACTGATTATTATCTGGATTATTCATTTTCTGTTCTTGTTTATTTGTTCAGTGATGGGGTCATTGTAAAAACATACTGATTATTATCTGGATTATTAATTTTCTGTTCTTGTTTATTTGTTAAGTGATGTGGTCATTGTAAAAACATACTGATTATTATCTGGATTATTAATTTTCTGTTCTTGTTTATTTGTTTACTTTTAGTGATCGGGTCATTGTAAAAACATACTGATTATTATCTGGATTATTAATTTTCTGTTCTTGTTTATTTGTTTAGTGATCGGGTCATTGTAAAAACATACTGATTATTATCTGGATTATTAATTTTCTGTTCTTGTATATTTGTTCAGTGATGGGGTAATTTGTATCACGTCGTGACCCCCATCGCCGTTTCACTATAGTGGGTGATACAACGTATGATAAGGGTAATTGTGATCCTCAAACCCTGCTGGTTCCATAATATGCATATATATATGCATATACCCGTTAATTTAGTTATATATAACTAAATTAACGGGTGATACTCGTGAAATATCTGTTTCAACTCGGCGCGCGTCTTGGTAGGTTATAAACCTACAAATAACTAGATAATTATACAGGACGTGGTATTTAAAAAGGAGTCAATGAACCGGTTTACAAAGGTTCAGCTACAAATCTCTAATCACCTGATCCATTGGTAAGTTCTCCCCCATGTTAGAAAGAATGGTCTGGAGTTCCACCGCATCAATATAACCGTTGTTGTCCTGGTCAAACACCTTGAACGCATCCTTCAGGTCGTCTTCTTTTTGGGTACCGTACTTTATCATTAACTGGCAGAACTCTGTAAACTCTATCTGGAGAGAGTACTTTATCATTAACTGGCAGAACTCTGTAAACTCTATCTGGAGAGTACTTTATCATTAACTGGCAGAACTCTGTAAACTCTATCTGGAGAGAAGTACTTTATCATTAACTGGCAGAACTCTGTAAACTCTATCCGGAGAGAAGTACTTTATCATTAACTGGCAGAACTCTGTAAACTCTATCTGGAGAGAAGTACTTTATCATTAACTGGCAGAACTCTGTAAACTCTATCTGGAGAGAAGTACTTTATCATTAACTGGCAGAACTCTGTAAACTCTATCTGGAGAGAAGTACTTTATCATTAACTGGCAGAACTCTGTAAACTCTATCTGGAGAGAGTACTTTATCATTAACTGGCAGAACTCTGTAAACTCTATCTGGAGAGAAGTACTTTATCATTAACTGGCAGAACTCTGTAAACTCTATCTGGAGAGTAGTACTTTATCATTAACTGGCAGAACTCTGTAAACTCTATCTGGAGAGAAGTACTTTATCATTAACTGGCAGAACTCTGTAAACTCTATCTGGAGAGAAGTACTTTATCATTAACTGACAGAACTCTGTAAACTCTATCTGGAGAGTACTTTATCATTAACTGGCAGAACTCTGTAAACTCTATCTGGAGAGAAGTACTTTATCATTAACTGGCAGAACTCTGTAAACTCTATCTGGAGAGAAACTTTATCATTAACTGGCAGAACTCTGTAAACTCTATCTGGAGAGAAGTACTTTATCATTAACTGGCAGAACTCTGTAAACTCTATCTGGAGAGAAGTACTTTATCATTAACTGGCAGAACTCTGTAAACTCTATCTGGAGAGTAGTACTTTATCATTAACTGGCAGAACTCTGTAAACTCTATCTGGAGAGAAGTACTTTATCATTAACTGGCAGAACTCTGTAAACTCTATCTGGAGAGAAGTACTTTATCATTAACTGGCAGAACTCTGTAAACTCTATCTGGAGAGAAGTACTTTATCATTAACTGGCAGAACTCTGTAAACTCTATCTGGAGAGAAGTACTTTATCATTAACTGGCAGAACTCTGTAAACTCTATCTGGAGTGAAATACTTTATCATTAACTGGCAGAACTCTGTAAACTCTATCTGGAGAGAAGTACTTTATCATTAACTGGCAGAACTCTGTAAACTCTATCTGGAGAGAAGTACTTTATCATTAACTGACAGAACTCTGTAAACTCTATCTGGAGAGAAGTACTTTATCATTAACTGGCAGAACTCTGTAAACTCTATCTGGAGAGAAGTACTTTATCATTAACTGGCAGAACTCTGTAAACTCTATCTGGAGAGAAGTACTTTATCATTAACTGGCAGAACTCTGTAAACTCTATCTGGAGAGAAGTACTTTATCATTAACTGACAGAACTCTGTAAACTCTATCTGGAGAGAAGTACTTTATCATTAACTGGCAGAACTCTGTAAACTCTATCTGGAGAGAAGTACTTTATCATTAACTGGCAGAACTCTGTAAACTCTATCTGGAGAGAAAAAACAGCTATTCAATATAGAACTAATTGCTATCTGGAGAGAAACACAGCTATTCAATATAGTACCGTACTTTATCATTAACTGGCAGAACTCTGTAAACTCTATCTGGAGAGAAGTACTTTATCATTAACTGGCAGAACTCTGTAAACTCTATCTGGAGAGAAGTACTTTATCATTAACTGGCAGAACTCTGTAAACTCTATCTGGAGTGAAGTACTTTATCATTAACTGGCAGAACTCTGTAAACTCTATCTGGAGAGAAGTACTTTATCATTAACTGGCAGAACTCTGTAAACTCTATCTGTAGTTACTATAGTTACTGGAGTACTTTATCATTAACTGGCAGAACTCTGTAAACTCTATCTGGAGAGAAGTACTTTATCATTAACTGGCAGAACTCTGTAAACTCTATCTGGAGAGAAGTACTTTATCATTAACTGGCAGAACTCTGTAAACTCTATCTGGAGAGTACTTTATCATTAGCTGGCAGAACTCTGTAAACTCTATCTGGAGAGAAGTACTTTATCATTAACTGGCAGAACTCTGTAAACTCTATCTGGAGAGAAGTACTTTATCATTAACTGGCAGAACTCTGTAAACTCTATCTGGAGAGAAGTACTTTATCATTAACTGGCAGAACTCTGTAAACTCTATCTGGACGGAAGTACTTTATCATTAACTGGCAGAACTCTGTAAACTCTATCTGGAGAGAAGTACTTTATCATTAACTGGCAGAACTCTGTAAACTCTATCTGGAGAGAAGTACTTTATCATTAACTGGCAGAACTCTGTAAACTCTATCTGGACGGAAGTACTTTATCATTAACTGGCAGAACTCTGTAAACTCTATCTGGAGAGAAGTACTTTATCATTAACTGGCAGAACTCTGTAAACTCTATCTGGAGAGAAGTACTTTATCATTAACTGGCAGAACTCTGTAAACTCTATCTGGAGAGAAGTACTTTATCATTAACTGGCAGAACTCTGTAAACTCTATCTGGAGAGAAGTACTTTATCATTAACTGGCAGAACTCTGTAAACTCTATCTGGACGGAAGTACTTTATCATTAACTGGCAGAACTCTGTAAACTCTATCTGGAGAGAAGTACTTTATCATTAACTGGCAGAACTCTGTAAACTCTATCTGGAGAGAAGTACTTTATCATTAACTGGCAGAACTCTGTAAACTCTATCTGGAGAGTAGTACTTTATCATTAACTGGCAGAACTCTGTAAACTCTATCTGGAGAGAAGTACTTTATCATTAACTGGCAGAACTCTGTAAACTCTATCTGGAGAGAAGTACTTTATCATTAACTGGCAGAACTCTGTAAACTCTATCTGGACGGAAGTACTTTATCATTAACTGGCAGAACTCTGTAAACTCTATCTGGAGAGAAGTACTTTATCATTAACTGGCAGAACTCTGTAAACTCTATCTGGAGAGAAGTACTTTATCATTAACTGGCAGAACTCTGTAAACTCTATCTGGAGAGTAGTACTTTATCATTAACTGGCAGAACTCTGTAAACTCTATCTGGAGAGTACTTTATCATTAACTGACAGAACTCTGTAAACTCTATCTGGAGAGAAGTACTTTATCATTAACTGGCAGAACTCTGTAAACTCTATCTGGAGAGAAGTACTTTATCATTAACTGGCAGAACTCTGTAAACTCTATCTGGAGAGAAGTACTTTATCATTAACTGGCAGAACTCTGTAAACTCTATCTGGAGAGAAGTACTTTATCATTAACTGGCAGAACTCTGTAAACTCTATCTGGAGAGAAGTACTTTATCATTAACTGGCAGAACTCTGTAAACTCTATCTGGAGAGAAGTACTTTATCATTAACTGGCAGAACTCTGTAAACTCTATCTGGAGAGAAGTACTTTATCATTAACTGGCAGAACTCTGTAAACTCTATCTGGAGAGAAGTACTTTATCATTAACTGGCAGAACTCTGTAAACTCTATCTGGAGAGAAGTACTTTATCATTAACTGGCAGAACTCTGTAAACTCTATCTGGAGAGAAGTACTTTATCATTAACTGGCAGAACTCTGTAAACTCTATCTGGAGAGAAGTACTTTATCATTAACTGGCAGAACTCTGTAAACTCTATCTGGAGAGAAGTACTTTATCATTAACTGGCAGAACTCTGTAAACTCTATCTGGAGAGAAGTACTTTATCATTAACTGGCAGAACTCTGTAAACTCTATCTGGAGAGAAGTACTTTATCATTAACTGGCAGAACTCTGTAAACTCTATCTGGAGAGAAGTACTTTATCATTAACTGGCAGAACTCTGTAAACTCTATCTGGAGAGAAGTACTTTATCATTAACTGGCAGAACTCTGTAAACTCTATCTGGAGAGAAGTACTTTATCATTAACTGGCAGAACTCTGTAAACTCTATCTGGAGAGAAGTACTTTATCATTAACTGGCAGAACTCTGTAAACTCTATCTGGAGAGAAGTACTTTATCATTAACTGGCAGAACTCTGTAAACTCTATCTGGAGTGAAGTACTTTATCATTAACTGGCAGAACTCTGTAAACTCTATCTGGAGAGTAGTACTTTATCATTAACTGGCAGAACTCTGTAAACTCTATCTGGAGAGAAGTACTTTATCATTAACTGGCAGAACTCTGTAAACTCTATCTGGACGGAAGTACTTTATCATTAACTGGCAGAACTCTGTAAACTCTATCTGGAGAGAAGTACTTTATCATTAACTGGCAGAACTCTGTAAACTCTATCTGGAGAGAAGTACTTTATCATTAACTGGCAGAACTCTGTAAACTCTATCTGGAGAGTAGTACTTTATCATTAACTGGCAGAACTCTGTAAACTCTATCTGGAGAGAAGTACTTTATCATTAACTGGCAGAACTCTGTAAACTCTATCTGGAGAGAAGTACTTTATCATTAACTGGCAGAACTCTGTAAACTCTATCTGGACGGAAGTACTTTATCATTAACTGGCAGAACTCTGTAAACTCTATCTGGAGAGAAGTACTTTATCATTAACTGGCAGAACTCTGTAAACTCTATCTGGAGAGAAGTACTTTATCATTAACTGGCAGAACTCTGTAAACTCTATCTGGAGAGTAGTACTTTATCATTAACTGGCAGAACTCTGTAAACTCTATCTGGAGAGTACTTTATCATTAACTGACAGAACTCTGTAAACTCTATCTGGAGAGAAGTACTTTATCATTAACTGGCAGAACTCTGTAAACTCTATCTGGAGAGAAGTACTTTATCATTAACTGGCAGAACTCTGTAAACTCTATCTGGAGAGAAGTACTTTATCATTAACTGGCAGAACTCTGTAAACTCTATCTGGAGAGAAGTACTTTATCATTAACTGGCAGAACTCTGTAAACTCTATCTGGAGAGAAGTACTTTATCATTAACTGGCAGAACTCTGTAAACTCTATCTGGAGAGAAAAAACAGCTATTCAATATAGAACTAATTGC